CCCCCCCCAGCCTGACGCTGTCCATCCGCACACCGTCCTCACTGGCATGAGCGTTATAGCCACTTTATTTTCTATCTCTCTGCAGGGCCAGTTTTGTTGGATGAGTTTGTGGAGTGGTATAAAGACAAACAGATGTCCTAGGACTTTATGCATAGCAGCGAGAGAGTCACTGTTACCACAGATATGTCAACCATTAGCCATAAATTGCTGTTTGTATCGAAGCGCATGCTGCTTTTCTTGCACTGTCTCCCTTTTGCAGGGACGTTGTGGTGTTTGCTGTTGAATGGGCCAGCTCTGCTTGCTGTGTAGCATTGTTCTCTTGGAAGGCTGCTTCGCAGTTTGTATTTACACTACAGATTGGTGAATTTGCCAACGTCCTCACTGTGATGATGTGTATATTGCTGTTTAAATTTTGTATATGTGTATAAAAAGAAAAAGCTTCACCTAGAGATTATTTCTGCAAAACTGTATTGTAAAAATAATTTTTGTGGCATATTTCTAGTCCCTTTTTTCAAATGAACCAATTATACTTTATTTGGTCTCCAACGTAGCATTTCAGAACACAAGAGAGAACAACTGTTACCATAAGCGAATGTTGCCAGAATTAACCTCATTGTTTTTAAGAGGCCAACTTTTGGAAGGAGGTGGGAATTAGAACTTTTCAGAGGCATATGCCAAATATAATTTGGTTTACTTAAATAGGAGTGTTTTTAAATGATGAAAGGTACAATTATTTGAACATCTGGACATGTACCATGCCACAAATCATTTCCACCATGCAAGGTGTAGGTTTTTATTCTCTGATGTTAAAGCCGTAGTAGTTTGAATATAGGTACAAATGAACAAATTAAAATTGCACCTTTTTTAAATGAGTTTGAAACTCTCGTAAACTTCCTTTACTGTTTGGTTTTTTTTTTTTTCCCCTTTTGCCTTCTCCTGGTCAGTGTTGGGTCTGCTGATGCTTCCCGTGCCATTCTAAGTAACATTGATTTTTGCCTCCTCCGTGGAAACCTAATGGTTTGCTGGCAATTTGTAACCGCAGAGCACTTTTAGTTGTGGTTTGGATTTTTAGTTAAGCTTTTGTGGTGTCTAATCTTCTAGTTTTTTGGAAAAAGAACTATACTATAAGTGAGAGGTGTTTTGTTTTGTTTTGTTTTCTTTCTTTCATGCTAGGCTTTTCCTGGCAGAATGTCCATTGCAGGCAGTGGACACGAAACCACCAGCACTGAGCTCACTTTGTCACACAGTAGGACCTTTCCTGGAGGGGCCACTCGTCATTCATTACCTGAGTAATTTGTACAGAAAGGTGATAGCCATTATTTATGTGGATGAGGAAACAAGAGTAAACAGGACGGTATTTTTAGGTTTGTATTTTATGTCTTTTTTTTCCCTTGCCTTACCCTTCTTGAGGAAATGTATAGATAACATGTTTTCCCCTCAACTATCTGGTGCTATTGAATGACTAATTTAATCCCTAAAGTTTTGTGAAAACATAAAGTCTAATGATTTAAACCGAGTAAAAAGCTAATGGTGCATTTGAACAGGTGAATGCCGCAGGTTTGAGCAAGATCCATGATGGAATAATGATTGGAAGAGGTTTGGGTTATTGCAAAATCTGGCCAAAAAATCTTTTGGACTAAATGTGAACCTTTAAATGGCATTAAATGAGTAAAGCACACAGACAATGCTACTCCTGACCACTATTTCACAGTTGCTTTGCAAACAGTGTTCAGATTTTCATATTATTTTTTCCCTAACTGAACCACCAAAGACAGAAATTTTGTATGTATATACGGTGTGTGTGCATATACAAAATCATGATGTGGTAGAATGAAATCACTTCCTTTTTCTACCAAACAGAAAGGTTTGGTTTGCTGTGAAATAAACCAGAAGTGTGAAAAACTCTGTAGTGATTAAGCAGACTTAATCATTCCTTGCTTAGGAATGGTAGACTCGCCTCTACCTTACAACTTCATACCAGTTTGCACAAGTTAATATCCGAAGAGAATAGAAGATGTTGATGGCAAGCACAACTCTTGGGACCGATGTGTTGCAAGGGGTTCCGTCCCAACAGGTGCCTGGTATTCCAGTGGCGATGGGCCAGAGGCAGGTGTGAATTTGTGAAGAACTTGATTCGTTTTCAGAAGTATCCCATAAAGTTAAAAAAGAAAAAAATCACACTTTAAAGGCAACAGTTCTTAGATTCGATCAACTATAGTTTTGTTTAAACAAATATAAATCATAGATGAAATTATTTTAAAAGTTACGGTTAGGAACTGGAGAATGTTTTGAAACACTAAGCACAGTTAATCGTAACATAAAGGGATTGTTACGGGGAGATGTTACATTTCAACCACAGTGAACATTTTGATGATAAGGGGAAAAACCCAAGGAAAACCTATTCGTGACCTAGAGTATGGAAAGTGAGTATTCCAAAGTGATGATGATCTTGTGTATTTGGAAGACTCCAAATACTTTTTGAGCTCCCTGGAAAAATAAACCTCCATGACTGTGGAGTGCTTGCCCTTGGTTCTTGATTTTATGCAGTTATTTTTAGGGAGAGGAAAAGGGGCCAAGCGAGTAATAAGATACTTTTCTCTTAAAAATGTCCCTCGGTTACATAAAATTGAGCAGTCACCAGACACCTACTGGCTAATGTTAAAGAAATGCGGGTGCCTTCCTCTGGCTTTTCTTTCGTACCTGTCTGCACCCTTTGCCTTCCCACTGTGTCTTGAACTACACATTGCAATATGGTGTCGTCATGGAGTACAACATTTCGGTGTTTACTGGCAGGTCAGGAATTTCGTGATTTGATTTGCCATAAACACCCACTGTAATGTTACATGCAGCTTTCTCGAAGCATGAACTCCGAATTAAGTTTTTACAAATCTGACTAGACAAACCTCTAGCTTCTCCTGTAACAACACACATCTGTTGCCTCTCCGTCTCCATTTTAATAGTGCTTTTGAAGTTTATACAGAAAGCTTTCCAAGTTAGTTTGTGCCCTTGGTTTTTATTCTTAAAACTGCTAAAATACCTCTGTAAGCCTTATCTTTTATTCTTTCATATGTTGTATAATAAATGTATAGAAGTCATTGACCAGCTAAATGTTGGGTGTCTGTAAATGAGACCAAAATGTGGGTTGCTTTTTATCATAAGCTCTTTTCCCCTGGGGGTTACTGTTAAATGGGCAACAGCCAACCTGTAACTGTGAACGCTTCCTGTCGTCAGTAGCTGCATTCCACCCATAGACATGTGCAAGTCCCGTGACTCCGGCTTAACTAAAACACTGTTATGCCACCTGAGTGCAGCAAACTGGTTTTAGGTTTTAATGGAATTGATGTAAAGTGATATCCCATAAATAAAAAGTATTTGTGTTTGGTTTCAGAACTGATTTGTGAATTCTTTCTTCTCTTCTTGGGATTTTGCTTCAAAAACCACTTAAGGTAGTTTTAAAGTATTTTCTCTTTTACTTTTTTGTCCCCGCCCCCACCACCAAACTCTCTATATTGGGGAATTTCAAAGCTACAGAAAAAAAAAAGCAAGAATAATAGAATGAACTTCAACCCATCCATGTACCTGTCACCTAGATTTTCTGCTTGTCAGCATTTTGCCACCTTTTCTGTGCCACTCTGCGTGCGCGTGTGTGTGTGTACATATGTACACTTCTCTCTGTGGATACGCTTTTTTCCTGAACTGAAAGTAAATTACATTATGATGCTTCATACCTAGTATTTCGAAACAAAGACATTTTTTTTTTAAAGTATTGATGTGTTTTTTTTTTAATATTTATTTATTCATGAGAGACAGAAAGAGAGAGGCGGAGGCAGAGGGAGAAGCAGGTTCCCCACTGAGCAGGGAGCCCGATGTGGGACTCGATCCCAGGACCCCAGGATCATGACCTGAGCCGAAGGCAGTCACTTAACCAACTGAGCCACCCAGGTGCCCGAAACAAAGACATTTTTTTTTTTTTAAAGATTTTATTTATTTATTTGAGAGAGAGAGAGAATGAGAGATAGAGAGCACGAGAGGGAAGAGGGTCAGAGGGAGAAGCAGACTCCCTGCTGAGCAGGAAGCCCGATGTGGGACTCGATCCCGGGACTCCAGGATCATGACCTGAGCCGAAGGCAGTCACTTAACCAACTGAGCCACCCAGGCGCCCACAAAGACATTTTTATAACCACAATGCAATGCTCACACTCAAGAAATTTAACATTGATACAATTCTATAATCTAATATACAGTCTAGGTTAAAATCTCTCTGTGCCAATATTGGCCTTAATAGCAATTTTATTCATAATCCGGGGAAAGGCACTGTACCTAGCTGTCCTGCCTCTTTAGTCTCTTTTAATCTGGAACAGGTCCAGATATAGTACAAACACCCCTCAGCCAGACAGTGAGTTAAAAATACATACAACCATATGCTGTGTATTTCTAAAATACTGCGCTAACAATTGAGCACTTGCAATGTGCCAGAGCCAGGCAGAAATGCCCATTTTTACTGCCTCCAGCATCATCCAGTTAGTCTCTAGCATGTATCAGCCCTGGTTACCACTCTCTGAAATTGTCTTACATATCAGCTCGCTGATGGCAAGATCTCTGGCACAGAGTAGGTGCTCAGAGAATGCACGTGGAAGGAAGCAAGTCACAAGTTCGTGCTGGGCAGAGAATTGGCAGGACCCGAGAAACCTCACATAAAGATTAGAGAACCCACAAGGACCGATCCAGACTTTAAGACTCCCAGACGCTTGAAAGCAAGGCAGGAGGCAGGCAGAAGACAAGATTCCTAAAACAGAATCTCCAGGTACCCAGTTTAAATTGGTGATGTAGATGGGCTTTCCACTATAATTTGGACCGAAGCTGGGATCAACTCAAGAAGATACTCTTGCAGAAGCCTACAAAGATGGTAGGTGGAGATAAAGAAAAAGCTTAATTCTATATGGATGGCAAGCAATGAGAGATGGCCAGTGGTAGGACAGGGGACCCAACCTGGGCTACAGCAAACAGCAGGAATTCACGAGGCACTTCATCCAGCGCTACAAAATAGGAACACGAGATGGGTTTCTCCGGGCAATACTAGTCCACATAAAAATTCACAAGAGTTGAAATAGAGTTCTCCAGCGGTGTAACAAACAGGATAGGCTGGGGAGAGAATAGATCGCCAATGCCTGCTCCACACACACACACACACACACACACACACACACACACACACACACGCAGCCAGCTTGAGGGGCATTGCAGGCAGTCCAATGGAGGGAAGAGGTTCCAGGAAGGTTGCTCCAAACAAAAAGGGTGTTTTTCAAGACAGCTCTTTGAAATAATGGGACAAAGAGGAAAGTGAACTGAAAAATGGAAAACATTACCCACCGGAAAAGATGGAAGATCACAGAGGCCACCCTGGGGCTAGAGGAGTGAGGAGGAGAGTTAGCTACTTCTGGACAGCACCTTTCTTGATTTGTTTGAACCCACAGGGAGGCAGGACATGCTCTCCACGGTGCAGTGTGCACCACGTCATCCTGTATGACTCGCTTGAACGTTATCCCCATAACTTCGTGTGAAGAATAACTTCCAGGCAGGAAATGAGAGAAAAGCTTCTGTGATCCCTTCAGAAAAGAATTGCCTGTGAAACTTGGTTACGGCTAGAAAGGGGAAAAACCTAACGTGAGGAAATAATACATGAGTTTTCTGGCCCTGTCTACTAACCTAAGCTTGTAGGGCAGAAGGTAATCCAAAATAGAGCACGTTCACCGCTTTTGGCACATTCAACAGAAAATAGTTTGGTTTATTTTCCACCAGAATTTGTTCCTAACATTTATCTTCAATTGCCATAACAAAAAATAAAACCATCCCGTGTGTGTAAGTAAGTACTCGCTTAGAAATTATAGTGAGTAAGTAGGCTATGCTGAGAATAATAATTGGAAAC